TGGAGGGGAGACAGGCAGAGACTGAAGAAGCCATTGACTTGAGGGGCTCAGTGGCACCAGACCAGGCTGTTGGGGTGCTGAGTGATCCCCAGTGACACAGTTAAGGAAGGAGCACTCCCCACCCTCCTGCCCCAAGGATTCCAGGGATACCTGGGGTGACATGGCAGCATACAGGGCTCTGGAGGCCCCTTTGTGACACCCATGGGCTCTTAGAGAGGCCCTGCCCTCCTGGGCCAAGGCAGGCATTAGGGGGGGAGGACCTGTGAGGGCTACTCAGGCTCTCCCCAACATAGAGGAGCCTCTCCTGAGGCCAAGGCCCTGTATTAGCTGGAGAAGGGGGAGCCGGGAAAGCAACAATTACTTTGAATACGACCCAAAGGCCACGGTGGCCTGAGTTATCCTGTCCCTTTCTTCACTCAATCCCATCCTTGCAGCTCAACAAGAAGAGAAGTTTTTCCTTGGACACCCTTGTGTGCGGGGCTTTCGAAGGACTGCTGTCCGCAGAGGCAACGAGGAGCAGAGGGTAACAGTGTGGGCTTTGATTCGGGGCTGCCTGGGGACTTGGCCTCTACTACTTCGTTACTATGTCACCTCAAGTTTGTTCTTGAATTTCTCTGTACCTCGGCTTCTTTTTCTGTAAAATGGAGATGACGATATTAATAATAGCACCTAACTTGGAGGGTTATTGGGAGGGTTAACTAAATTAAGCCACATCAGATACTTAGCCCAATGCACTGCATGGTTTCTGCATTCAGTAGTTTATTCCTGCCGGGTGTTCAAAGGACAGTGCAATATAAATTCAGTATCTGGCATCGTTGGTTTTCTTGGCTTTGTGGATGTTAAACCTGGTATTTTTATTGAAACATTATTCTTACAGTTCTTACTCTTCAGTTAGACATAAGTAATCTTTGGTAGGAACTAATACTTGTCTTTTTCTAGGGTGTCAGAAACTAAAAAACCAGGCAGATCCATCTACTCAGACCCTAACCATGGCCCTAAAGTAAATTGCTTGAAGAAATTAGTTCCCAACGATTATAGGTGCAGAGTTTTTGAAGTATGTCCATATTCAAGTGTAGATCAAAGAAGCTCAATTAAAAGGATTGTGGACTGACTGAAATGACATCAAGATTGAGCAAAAAAGGGAATAAGATGATTAAGACTCAAACTCAGGAGGAACTAAGGCAGTGGAAGAACTCAGAACATGTGAAATCCCTTAAATAAAAGTTTATTAACTTTAAAAACAACAACAAATACTTAGCCCAGACCCAGGCACCTAGTCCCAGATTACTAGTATGAAATGAGGAAAGAGGTGTGGCCTGGCTGGGTGGCTCAGTTGGTTGGAATATCATCTCACACACCAAAAAGACTGTGGGCTCGATGCCCTGTCAGGGCACATACGTGGGTTGTGGGTTTGATCCCTGGTTGGGGTACATATGGGAGACAACCGATCAATGTTTCTCTCTCTCTCTCTCTCTCTCTCTCTCTCTCTCTCTCTTTCTCTCTCCCTCCCTCCCTTAGTCCCTCCCTCCCTCTCTCTAAAATCAATGAACATATCCTCGGGTGAGGATTAAAAAGAAAAAAAGGAGAGGTGTGTTTGGTAAGGGACACAACACGTTTGTAAAGCTGTGGCTGCAGCTACTGGAAGAGGAGCTCTGCTACACTTACTGGCACCAGGAGAGACCAGGGTCTTGGATCCCATCTGTACTATCCCCAGGAAATTAGGCTTCCCCAGAGGGCCCCTGAGCAGAGAGCCCCGTAATTCAGACTGTGAGTTTACAAATAAACTTTTGCCAATTCTCATATAGGTAGTCAGGTCTGGAGGATCAAGGCATACTCATTTCACTCACAAAAAACCCCAACCAATTTATTAGCCAGAATACAACTTTTCACATTTCCAAGGAGATCCATTTAGGCCCAAGATCAGGAGCTAGTGTTCTGTGCAGCACCCCTGGAGCAGGCAGCAGCGGGAGGAGCACCGCGTGGCGGGCACACCCGACACTGAGTAAACCAACCACGGAAACCACGTGCAGACTGGCTCTTTGGAAACAATGGAAAGTTGGTGGTTTTGAAGGATTGTTTATCATGGAACAAAGCCTGGTGATCGCTTTCTTTTCTCATTTCTGCAGATAGGTCCTAGGGAGGAGAGGGCGAGAGTCAGAACTGTGTTCCCTGGAAAGTGCTAGCGAAATGCCAACATATTCCTCCTTCCCAGCCCCCTTTTGTCTGGGCTCCATAGTCCCCCTGCCTGTCTGTTTGTCATTTTGTGGCCTCATCTCTAGTCTATCAATTTCTCAACTTGCAATTCTCAAGTTGATAACTTACCAACAACTGTATCTATTAATAATCAGGTGTTATTTATATTTCAAATTATCCCTACACAATTCAAAGGTACAAAAGGGTAGAGAGTCAAGGGAGTTCTTCTCACGCCTGTCCTCCAGCAGTGCAGGTCCTTTCCTGGGAAACAACCCACACCATCAATTTCTTAGGTATTTTCCCAGAGATGGTCTGTGCATATGTAAGCAAGTTTTTCATGTTCATCTTTTTTCCTCCCCAAATGGTAACATACTCAGAGGAATTTAATCACTTCAATAAATCTTCCAATCAGAATTTCTCAGCCATCTGCTCTGTCAAGGATCGGTGGGAGAGAAAAGAAGTTACAGGCAGCAGCCCAGGGATTACCCAACTTCCCCAGCCTTCACCCCCTCTCCTCCTGCTCCCCCAGTGAGTGATGAGAGGGAGTATGCGCAATGTGCAGGTTGTCTTTGGGAGGTATTGTGGTGAGAATCAACACTTTAATCACGCTAAAGTTTAACATTCTCTGAGACGTTTAACTCCATCTATCACTGTCATTTATTAGGCAATCCCTGGGACCCTAAGCAGTACAGTTGATCCTTGAATAGCAGTGGGGTTAAGGGTGCTGACTTCCCATTCAGTAAAAAAATCACAGATGTCCTGGGCACATGGTGGCTGCCCCAACATGGAGGATCCGGGATTCCACATATAAGTGAAACCATAAGGAAAGGGAGAAGGAGAAACTAAGATGGCGGCATAGATAAACACCGGGAAATTGCTGCCTCCCACAACAATTGAATAATACTTCAAAATCACAAAACGGACATCATCCAGAACTACAGGAAGGCTGGCTGAGTGTAAATTCTACAAC